CCATAGAACTGGGGGTTTGCGTGACCCACCCACGCGCACCCTGGCCTCCGCCGTCTAGTGAGAAGCTGCAGGCCTGTCTCTGGGGGAAAGTGAGCATCTCTTTCTGTTTTTACACGTCTCTCTACGGTGTCTGGCTTTTGTTAAATGCTTATGTTGCTGCCTTTCTCCTAAGAAGACTCCCTGGAGTTTTGTTTCTTTCCATCTTCACGGCAGCCGCCCGTCACCCTCAGGCACGCGCGTGTGCGCGCGTGGACATCTCCTCCCTGGGCCCCGGCAGCGTCTGCGGGTCCAGGCGCCAGGCTGGGCTGGGGGACAGCTGCGGGGAGGCCCGGCCTGTGTCCCCCCTGCAGAGGAGGATGTGGTCAGGTGTGGGCCGCGTGCATGGTGGGAGCAGTTGTTGGGGAAGGAATTGTGATTTCTTGTTTGTTTTATTTTTGAAGCATTTTTTTTTCTTTCTGGTTTTAAAAGTAATGCAAGTTGTTTGTAACAGAAATACCTGGGGGAAGACAATAAGAATTATAATCCCACCCCCGCCCCCGAAGAAAACCCTGACCACATCTTGTGTGTTGGTGTGCGGTGTCTGTGTGAGTGACACAGAGAGAGAGCAGAGGTGAGACAAGGGAAGGAGGGAAAGGGGAGCCCAGACTCTAGAATCTTCCTGGCTGCCCCCTCCCAGAGGAGGAGGGCCCACCGGGAGGCGTGTGGGGACTGGCCTGGCCCATTGCCGGCCTCCCCACTCCTCTCGGAGGCCCTTGTCCCACGTGTGCTTTCGGCTGTAACCGCGGTGCTGTCCCAGACCCTGGGGTCCCTGGTTCCTCGAGCTTCAGGAGCGGGGGATGAAGGGCGGGCACGGCGGGACCTGGGAAGGTCATTCCTGGGGGCAGTCGGCTCCCAGGGGCTCCTGGCCGGCCTTCAGCCAGGTGCATGGGTCAGGCCCTGTGGCTGAGATACCCATCGTCACGAAGCCGCTGGCCTGGTCAGAGGACACCAGGGCTGAAGTGCGAGGCGGTGACCTTTTCACAACAAACCAGAAATCTGAGTGGAACAGAGAGGTTTCCAAGTGCAGGGTGGGCGCCTGCCTGGAGCTGGCTTGAGAAGACCCCCCAGGGTGCCACAGGGGGTGTCCAGGACCTCAGCCCCGGTTAAGGTGGCCAGTGCGGTCCTCTGGGGGCCCAGGGCCTGTCCTCCCACCTGCCCTGTGCCCCGCACTTGGATGCAGGTTGAATGAGGTGCTGTGGGTTCCTGGGCAGCTGGGTGGGGGGCCTGGGAGCTCCAGGTCAGGTGTGGGCAGACAGGGAGGGACCAGCACCTTGGAGGAGGGCTCCGCTGAGTCCATGGCGAGTCTGGTGAGTTCCGAGCACGTGGTCAAGTTCTAAGTACTGTGAGTGACGAGGTACCACCCGTATGTTAACTGCGCAGCCCAAGTTCACTGTCGGCCTCCAGAGCAGAACCGACAGCGTGGGCAGGGCCGGGCAGTCTTCTCGACACCAGCCAACCTCACCGTGTGGGTGGACCACCCCTCTCATGCCTGAACTCGGTGTTCAGCTGTGTGACCCGCGGGGAGAGCCACCTGGTGTCTCGGGACGCCGCCTCTTCCGAACTCCCCGAGCACCTCTTGAGCCTGTATTCTGAGCCCCTGTGCTGATGCGCTGCCACCCTCTCCCTGTCCCCTTGCCCTTCACCTGGGCTGCTTGCTTCCAGGAGCCCTGGACCTGCCCGTGGGATCCGTTCACGTGCTGCCGTTTGCCAGCATTGTCAGAGGTGTGGGGCGCCTGAGCTAAGGACAGCGCGGTGGAGCCCGGGGCAAGGCAGCCGGGGATGGGAGCGTTTATCCGTGAGCTCCTCCAGGGGTCGCGGACGACATCCGAGACCCAGCCCAGGCTGGGGAGGATGGTCACGGCACAGGGCGAGGACCACGTGAAGGTCCTGGGATGAAAGCCTGGGAGGAGACCCGAGTCTGCAGAGAGCCAACCCCCAACACGGAACTGAGGGCTGGAGACCCCAGAAGGGGAGGCCAGGGCAGCCGAGGAAACGTGGTGTGGAGGGATGGAGAGGGGCCGGGCGGGGCGCCCAGGCTGTGAGCTGGTAATAAATTCATGAACCGGGACCCATGGTGTCCCAAAGGCACGCGAAGCCATGCGTGGCCTGTGCTGTGCCCGTGCACCCCGGTGCTGGCTCGTTGCCTGGTAGGCTTTTCCACACTCTCAGGCAGAGGTTGGTTTTCTTCCTTTCATAGATTGATGGTGTCCCCAAAAGATACATTCAGGTCCTAACCCTGTTATCTGTGACGATGGCCTTATTTGGAAATAGGGTCTTTGCAGCTGCAGTCGAGTTAAGATGAAGCCGTTAAGTGAACCCTAGTCAACATGACCAGTGACCTTGTGAGAAGAGGAGACACCAGGAGGTCTGTGACGATGGGACTGATGTGGCTGCAAGGCGAGAAACGGCCACCAGGACCCACGAGAGGCAGGAAGGTCCCCCCTCCACGGCCACCCTGAGAGAGCCAGCCCTGCCGAGGCCTCGATTTCAGACTTGCAGCCACCAGGCTATGGGTGAAAATTCTGGGGGTTAGGCCCCCAGTCTGTGATGCCTCTTTACAGCAGCCCCTGGGCACTGGCTACAGTCCAGGACACCTGCTGTCAGCCGCATCTCCACGTGGGTGCACATGCAGAGGAAATGGGGGGTCCTTGGCGGCCTTGTCCTTCCCTACCCCAGCGCCACTGGTCCACGGGGCGTGGTCCAGAATCGTGGCACCTGGGGGGGATGACGGCCTTAGGCTGCCGGCTGCCGTGTGAGAGGTGCACTGGACGTAGAAGCCCTCTCAGACCCCTGGCGGGGACCTTGCCCAGCCACCCCCTTACAAACGAGGGTTCAGGCTCCGGAGGCGCGATGTGCCTGGGTCAGGGGGTTCCCATGGCTGGTCGGTCAGTTGCTTTGTTAGTTACTGACCAGGGCTCAGGTTCCGAGGAGACGGGCCTCTGCCGGCCACTGACGTCAGCCAAAGATGTCTGGGGTCAGGGTGGGCGGCAGCAAGGACCGAGAGTGCCAGAGCAGCCCCACGGCAACACGCAGAGCTTAAAATAACAGCTGGGACAGAACCCACGCAGCTGCCCGACCACACGTCGCAGAGTCGGACCAGCCCACAAGTCTCAGCATCTTTGCCGTGAGCTCCTGGACCCCCTCAGATGCACGGTTGCCCGGTCTTTGAGGCTCTAACCACTGTTGTCACCGGAAACACACACCTCATTATCCACGACACTCTCCCCTCTGCTGCATTTGTTTATCTACTTGGTTATTTACGCGTCTCTTTGTTTATTTTTGCCTGGTTCTTAGCACAGTATATAATTTTGCGTGTAATTAGTTAGTGCACGTTCAATCACAGCCAAAGCCTTCAGGGAGGCGGCACTGGGGTGTTGGCCATGGAACAGGCTCTGCTCAGCAAAGGGAGGAGGGTCCCAGCAGGTCGAGGAGGAGGGGCCCGGGGCCCACATCCTTCCTCCCGCACCTGTGTGGGTCTCCCGTGAGCCGTCCGTGACGGGCTCTGGGCGGTTGGCTTGGGGTCCCCGTGCACAGCTCCCTTAAGGCCCTGGGCCAGGCATGTCTGGCACCCACTGCAGACACCCCGTTGCCTCTTGGGTCGGTCACACCCAGACGTGGCTTCCCCCGGGTCAGGGTGGCCTGGGCAGCTCTGGGCTGATGGAGCCGGTGGCTACTCCTTGCACTGTATCCTGCCAGCCTGGCCCCAGGCCGGGCTGGGCACCCGGAGGTGACATCAGTGACAAAAAGGCAGGGCAGTCCTGTGCAGTGAGCCGCCTGGAGGACCTGGGGGCTGCCTGGAGGAGGGGGCCAGGGGTGACAACAGTGTATGAGAAAGGACACCCAAGGCTGAAGGAGCAGCTGCCTGGGAGCCCCAGGGAGCTGCCAGCGTTTCCTCTTTGGGGTGGACACTGCCACCCTCCTCCCCTGCACGTGGGGACCGTCTCCTGGGTGTCACCTCCTCATCGTTCCCTTGTTTGGAGCTGCATCATGCACCCCCATCCTCTCTCTCTGCCGACCCCCTGCATAGCGGTGGGCTGGGATCTGTACGGGGCCATATCCTCGAGCTGGGAGGGACCTTCAGGGGCAGAGTACCGTCTGCGTTCTCGCACTGTGGTCCCAGGGCCCAACGCAGAGGGCGGCATACAGTGGTGCTTATTGTTTGCTGAAGGAAGGAAAGTGAGGCAGTGAGTGGACGCCCCAGTGGAGGCTGTGGCCGTGTGGCCACACCGAGGGGCCATCCGGTGTCACCAAGAGATCTAGGCTCACAGCTCGGGGATGACCAGGGGGGCACCAGCCAGGCCCGGGGAGGACCTGCAACTTCCCTGGGGCCAGCGGCCAGGCTTCCCTCGTCGGCACCCACCGTCCAGCGCCGGCGCTGCCTGTCTGGTCAGTGTGATTCTTCAGAGCATCTTGGTTTACAGGCAGGCGTGTCCCTCTGCTGGGATGCTGGCCCCCTCAGCTCCTTAGAGCAGTGGGTGCCCTCCCTGGATTTAGGAGTCATGTGGGGGGGGTGAGGAAGCCAGTGAAACCCATGGAGTCGTCAACTGCAAATGAGACGGGTCCCTTCTCGGCAGGTTGGGCCGGTTCAGACACAGACCGAGGCCGCTCCAGGCCAGCCTGGCCTCCCATTGAGGAGCCCTGTGCAGCCCAGGTCCTGACTCGTGACCGGGGGCCCTTCCCCTGTGACTCAGCCCTTCATTTCCAGGAGTGGCTGAGATGGGGCACGTTTAACGTCCTGTCATCCAGGCAAGGCTGCCAAAACCATGCTGTACAAGCGTGGAGGTCGCTGGCCTGACCCGGTGCGTTGGCTTTTACAGGGTGGGTCTGACAGCGTCGTCTGGAGGGTTCAGATGTCCCTCTGGGTCCCTCTGCAGGCGGGCGCCAGGTGGGCACTCGGTGTGGTGCCGGGACGGCTGGTCTCCAGGCGCGTCCACTCAGCCCCATCTGTGCCTCTCTTGCAGGTCAGCTGGCTGCCGGCACCTGTGAGATTGTGACGCTGGACCGCGACAGCAGCCAGCCGCGGAGGACGATCGCCCGGCAGACGGCTCGCTGCGCGTGCAGGAAGGGGCAGATCGCGGGCACCACCAGAGCCAGGCCCGCCTGCGTGGACGGTAAGAGCCCCGGCCCGGGCGGCCGTCAGGGGCCACAAGATGCTGCATGCCCAGGGTCCACGAGATGCCCCCAGCCCCCAGGACATTCCACCGAGGCGCCGTGCTCGCTGGGCAAGGCCTCGGGCGGCACGGGGCCGCCACCCCCGGCAGTGCCGGTTGTGCACCTGAGGGCTGCCTGCCGGCCGTAGGCGTGGAGTGCAGGCTGGCGGGGAGCCGGGTGCCCACGGGGCCAGAGGCCATTTCTTGGCCAGTCAGGCTTGCTGCGGGCAGAGGGGGTGGAGGCGGTGCCACCAGCGAGATGGCCCTGATGCCCGTGTGGTCTCTGTCTGAGGTGCCAGCAGGGCTCCTTGCCCTGCGGGTCTGGCAGGTGGCAGGTGGCAGGTGCCCCAGGCTTTGTGACGTGCAGCGGGGCCGCCAGAGGCTCCCAGGACAGCCGACGCGATGCGCCCGTTGGGTAGGCTGGTGGCACCACTGAGGCTGAGCCGGCTGGGGGACAAGATATGTCCTGCTTACATTCTTGCTGAGTTAATGCTCAGGCACCTTGTAGGAGGTGGTACCTTTGGGGACCGTCCTCAGAAACAGACTCACAAGCTGTCTTTACAGAGCGGGGAGGAGTCCCCCCAGCTTCCATTAGGTCACCGACGTGGGCGCGTCCCCTGGTGCAGGAGATGCTGTGTGGGTGCTCTGCAGGGGACCTGGGCATCCCAAGGCTGGATGCAGCGGGGCCCAGCAGGGGTCTGGGGTAGGGCCAGCAGGCGAGTGGGGGAGGTGGCGTTGGAGCCGGGCCAGAGCCCTGCGCAGCCCCAGGACTAGAGCAGAGGGCACACCCCTCTTCTGAGCGGGCTGGGGGCTCCCGTGGGCCTGGCTGGCAGTTGCCTGTGTTGGTCCAGGCTCCTTGGGGTGGATGGCCCCATGCAGGGGTGTGGGGTAGCTGGAGGAGTCGCGGTCACCTCAGTCAAGGTGGAGGGTCCAAGGTGTCAGCCGGTCCATCCCGTGGGGGCGGCAGGGATGCACAGGGTCACCCAGAGCTGGACTTGGAGCCTGGCTCTTCTGGTCGGTCCCTCCCCTCCCCTACAGCCTCTGCACGGGCTCTGGGGGCCCAGCTCCCTGGTTCAATCTGCTGCCTCCGCCAGGGAGTCGCACTGGCTCCCCTGCTCTGACCTAGGACGTGGGGGGAAGCACCTTGCCTGCTGCAGGCGGTGCTGGCGAAGGTCACGGGAGAGGTGACGGGCGTGCTGAGCACAGGGCTGGGGCATCGTGAACTCCTGGCCACTCTGGGAGGCTCACCAGCAGTGCTGGTAGGGCTGCATCAGGAGCGAGGACACATCATCCCCGAGGGGGAGGCTTTCTGACAAGCCGGGTGGGTCCCAGTGCAGCCCCCAAAGGGAGAAAGGCCCCCAAGGAAGGGCCCCTCAGGGATGGGGCTGATTCAGGGGCCCGGGTTAGTGTCACCAGTGAGCCTGTCCAGGACTGTCCGGGGACCTGGCCGGGGCAGTGAGTCTGCTTGGGGCCTGGGGCCTGGAGCTCTAGCCCCACATGGCCTCCAGCAGGACAGGGAAGGAGTCGGGGACGGGCCTGGGCTCTTGGCACGAGGGAGCAGGCCCGGCCCTCACCACGCCAGGCCCCGACATCCTGTGCACCTTTGGGGCTGAGCTGGCTGCGGGAGCCTCACCCACGGAGCTTGGGGTGCCCATAAGCACCCTGGAGGTGCACGGGGCTCCAGGACCACCCAGCCACCCCCGGGACTCTCCTTACTTCCTTCAGACCCCTCGGCCACATGCCACCTGCCTTGTGCTGCCAGCCCAGAAGGGCTCTCTGGGAATGTTGGGGGCACCTGGGAGATGGTGGGAAAGGACTGTGCCGTGGGGGGCGGGGGGCTGGAGGCTAGTGGAAGGATGCTGAGGCAGCTGGTGCCTTTTGAGGATCTGGAACAAGGAAGCACCCATGCTGGCGTCAGTTTTGTTTCTAAGGAGCTGTTGTCTGTCCTTGTTAAGAGCATCTAGCCGTCGGCATCCCACGGACGGGGTGTGATTGGACAGCCAGATGTCCATGCGCAATGCTAACATCCTTGCCTCTGGGGACCATCCTCAGAAACAATCACAGACAGTCTTTACAGAGAGGAAAGGCCTAGCTACTCCGAAGCCGCTCCACTGACCCTAGACTCTGTCTGCCCAGTGTGTTGCCGGTGGACCGCCTTGACCCCCAGTGAGCTGGGCTAAGCCTGTAACTGGAAGGTATCAGCCGGTCCATCCCGTGGGGCCTGTAACTAGAAGCGGCTAGAGCGCCTTCTGGGCTGACATTGATGGATTCTTCCCGGCCAGGAGGGAGGGAGGGGGAGGTGCGGGCCCGCTCCCCTCCCCTCTGGTCATTAGCTCTGGGAGCCTTTGGGAGAGTCAGGTCAGAACTGATTACTAATTGAATCTGGGTCTGCTCATCCGAAACCGCGTTCTCACCCCTCTCCTGTGAGCCTCCCCGTGCCTCAGGAGCTGGGTCCCAGAGACCCAAATTAAAACCCGGCCGTTTTCAAGGGAGGCCACACAAATCAGTTAGCTGGCATTTTTTGCACCGTGGGCATTTCCAGGCTGCCATCTAATTTAATTTTTGCGTTTCTATTTTCTTGCTCTGTGCACATAATGTTTCCTCAAGTGTGAATTGTGCCTGCTAAAGAGAAAACTTGGGCTGCATGGGGTTGGTTGGAATTCCGTATGAATGGGGCTTAAATTGGGATGGTTTGTGCTGACCCTGTCATGTTTGGTAAATACGTGGGCTTGAAATACTAGAGCCCAGCTGCATCTGTTCACATGTTTATTCATTTATTTATTAACTTATCGTTCATTCATTTGCCCACTCACTCATTCTTTTGATCGAATAAGGTGTTTGCTCCTGGGTGGAGGAGGGCTGGAAGGGGAGATTGACTCTTAGGGTACCTAGAACATGCAGTGCTGGGGGGCTATAGGGTCCAGACTGTGGGGCAGGGGCTGGGGGACCCAAGAGTACAGCCGTCACTTCCTGTCCAGGACCTTAGCAAAGTTGCATCTTCAAGGGAGCATTTGAGCAGGGTACCAAACGATGAATAGGAGCTCACCAAGGAAGTATCTCTTTGTAAAAGGAGGGGGCTGGTGGTGAGAGGGGAGCTCCTGGCCATGTTTCTGGGTAAACCGCAACCCCACCCCCAGCCTGGACCCTAACCCTAACCTGCCTAGGGTCTTTCCAACTCATGGAACCATCAGCAAAAGAGTTTCTCAAACAAACCCCACTATCCCTGCAAGGCTCCACACCCTTACACACAAATACAGAACGGCACCTACCCTCGGGGCTGCCGCTTGTCGTGGACACCTCGGTTAAAAGCCTCCTCCGCCGGCACTGCAGCTCTGGAAGGCTCTGAGGGCCCCTCTCCACCAGTGGAAATGCGCGTGGCCCCGACGCCCCTGCAGCACCGCTGAGAGGACCGAGGCCCAGTCCCCAAGCCCCGCCCCGCCCAGTGCACAGCAGGTCACCCACAGGCAGCTCCACTCTCCCTGAAGTGGCCTCTTTCTTTATAAAGGTAGGCTCTTCCTCCCATCAGCTGAATTCTCATGAAACTCTCTTGGAAGAGAACAAAGTAAAGAAAGCAGCGTGGTGCCCAGGGGCCGGGCACGGGCAGTCGGGCGGGAGAAGAGACGGTTGTTTCTGGAGTAGCACTGCCCCAGCCATGGTGGGGGGGTGGGGGTGAGGGCAGGAGTCTTAGGCCGGGCCCGGCAGGGTTCCTGGGAGCCATGGGGTGTGGCGGGCAGGCGGAGTTCCGCACAGGCCTGTTGTGAGGGCCGCTGCAGACCTGAGGAGGAGGTCGCAGCCTAGGCTGGCACAGTCCAGTCTGGAGAGGGTCTTCCCTGTGTATGGCCTGCCAGGCTCTCCAGAGTCCCTACCAGGACCGCCTGGCTATTGACCATTGGCACCTGCCGGGAACTGGCCTGTCTTCTAGCCAACATGCCTTTGTATTCCTGAGCAGGAAACAAATGCATCCAGGTCACATCCCTGAACATCAGATCTTGTAATATACCTTTCCTTTCCAGGGGAGCCTGGGATGCAGACGGGGCCCAGGGTGTTGGGTGGAAAGCCGTGGCCCCAGGCCTCCTGGGTGCTCACCAACTGTGCACACAGATTGGGTAACAGCTGAGCATCACCACACTCCTCTTAGAGTGAGAGGAGGTGTGATGCTCAGAGGCCCTCTCTGAACTGATGTACCAACCTAGGGAACCACCCGTCCGCATTCTTCCCAGCCATGTATGAGGCATGCATGTTCCAGACATGGCCTTTGAGGGATTCTTCTGAGGAAGCGGGAGCAGGGATGGCTGTTTGAGAGGGGTCTGTGTGCAGATGGCTGCTGTGGTCTGGGATGAGTCTGGGTCCCCGCCAGGGACGAAGTGAAGACCCAGAAGAGGCACCTCATTAGTAGATGCAAGGAGTTGAGGGTGCAGAAATAAACCCTGCATCGCATCAGCTGATCTTCATCAAGGGTGCCAAGACCAATGGGAAGCAGTGGTCTTGTCAACAAGTGGCACTGGGACATCTGGATTTCCATGTGCAAAAGACCGAGGCTGGATCCCTGCCTCACGCCATATATATACCAGCAACCTCAGCATGGATCAAAGACCTAAATGTTAAGGGCTAAAATGATGAAACTTGTAGCAGAAGACAGGGGTAACTCTTTATGACCTTGGATTTGGCAAAGGATTCTTACATGTGACACCAAAAGCCCAAGCAACAAGAGAAAAATAGATAAATGGGACTTCACCAAAATGAAAAACTTTGGTGCCTCAGAAGACACCATCAAGAAAGTGAAAAGACAGCCCACGGAATGGGAGAACATATTTGCAAATTGTGGATCTGATAAGGGACCTTTATCTAGAATATATAAAGAACTCCTCCAACTCAAAAATGAGAAGACAATTAACACAATTTTAAAATTGTCAAAGGATCTGAGTAGACATTTCTTCAAAGAAGATAGACGTGAATAACCA